CCGGGGGGGGGGGGTGATTTCTCGCTTTCTGTCTCTCTGTTTCTCTTTGTCTTTCTGGCGAGCACACATGCCCTATAGCTAAAACCTCTCCAAAATAAATAAATAAATAAATAAATAAATAAAAAATGCAGGAGGGAAGGAGCTCTACTCTCTGGTTGCTTTAACAGTGACTGGTGGATGCGTGGAGACCAGCAATAAAAATGAACAGGACAGGACAGCAGGGGGCATAGTGGTTAAGGTGCTGGACTCCCGTGGCTGACTGCAGTTCGAGTCCTAGATCTGCTAGCTTGAAAATCACGTATGCATGCGTGCTCAGAATCCCAGGAAGACAGTGAAAGAGAAGGGATGAGGTCATGACCATCCCTCCAGTGGGGTCTCTGTCTTGTTACTCTTCGGCAAGGACATGCACCCCTTGGCAAAAACCTGAACAAATAGAAAGAACAAGATGGTCAAAAGTGTTGTATCGCACATGTACCATCACCAGAACCCCACCAGGAAGTCCTGTTACCATCCCCACCTTACAGAAAAGGACAGGCTAACAGAGTGAAGCGACTTCGCGGAGATGCGTACGTGTACGGGCAGCACTAGGACCTGAACCCGGGAGTTCCTGGTTCTAGAACTCGACACTTCAGTCTATGTCACGCCGCTTCCACAGTCGTCACAGAGCTGTGACTTACCTTGGTACCTTCAAAGTTCGTCATCACTCCCGCTGGGGAGGGTGGCAGAGCCGAGGGCCTCTCTGAGATGGGTGGGCTGGCTCCGTGCCCCCGCGGAGGCCAGGAGAGTGGTTTCTGTTCTCACAGAGGTGACAGCTCATTCTCTGCGGTCTTCGTATTTACGGAGCGGACTGGCTCCTCCGCCCTCTCTGCCCGTTCAGGTCAGTGTATTGAGCAACTTCTGAATGCCAGGCCCTGTGTGTGAGTGATAAGAGGAGTGAGCCACACCTGCTGCTTGGAGCCCGGTCAGACAGGTCTGCAGAGAGCTGGTGCCGTGTCACAGGGAAGCGTGGTCCTGGAGTGACGGGGAGGCGGACTGGTCCTGACTGTCACAAAAGACGTGAGCTGTCCAAGGAGGAGTAAGTGCGTGGTCTCCGGCGATCTCGGACCTTCGTCACTCTGCACGGAGAGAGGAAGGAAGTGGCCCGGAAGTGGAACTGAGGGCTGAGGTGTTGAGCCACCCCTGCCCACAGGCCAGGGTGCGTGACAGCGGCCGCTCTGCAGGCTGCGAGCTCCGGGACTGCCCGGTCAGAAGCGAGAGGTGAGCTGGAGGGACTCTACTCCCTTTGCTGTTCCTGCCTCGGCTTTTCCTGTTCTGGCCATTGGTGCTGCCATCAGCCTCCCTGTGGGCACTCACCCCGGAGGGAGTCTTCCGCTGAGGGGCAAAATCCTCTTCCTGGAGAAGGAACGCCAAATCTAGCCAGAGGCATGGGGGACAGTGGGCACAAGACAGGGAAGGTGCAGTTCGGGGTGACCACGTTCCAGCTGACCTGTGAGATCACGCATCTGCAGGCCGAGGCTGCGAGCCGCCCTGCTTTCTTGGCTTTGGGTTGTCGTTTATCTTTCTCCTCTCCCAAGTTTGCCTGTACCAGCATCTGTCCCCTCTGCGGTTGTCTCGGAACGGGGGGTTTTGCTTCGTATTTACTCTCTGGCTGTGACACTCCTGGCTGCAGCAGCCTGCAGGCGGGAGTGCGGAGGGAGCCGGTTCTTATCTCTGGATGCTGTTGTCTTTGGTGGCAGTGGGTGCTGGTGGGGATCACAGAGCACAGGCCCCGTGACTGCGGCCTCTGTCTCCTGCCTCCTGTGGGTGAGTGACTGGAACTGCGCGGTTGCAGGTTAGCGAGAACTCCGAGTGCTGCTGGATGCGGGCAGGAGGCATGTCCAGGGCCAAGGTTCCTGCACCTCCCTGTGCCAGCAGCTGTGCAGAGCCCGGAGAAGTGCCCCTCACCTCCTTGTCCTCGAGGACCGCAGTAGCAGGGAGGGGAGCAAACTACACAGCCGACCTACCCTCTTAGGCCTGACCTCATCAGAAGAGGGCATGAGGTCCAATAGGATCGGCATTTCTAATGAGGTCAGCACTGCCCCTAGAGTCAGGCTTCATAGACTTTCACAGGCCTTATTCCGGGAGCCCACTGACTCAGGAAATGGCTGCTTGGGGACCAGCAGTTGGCGTAATGGCTATGTTGCTGAACTCCCATGTAGCCAACCGGGGTTCGAGTCCCAGACCCGGTGGCTTAAACTCACACCAGGCAAGTGTGTGTGTGCTCATGCCAGGCGCGTGTGCCTGCGTGCCCAAGATCCCGAGAGGAGAATGGAGGAGAAGGGATTGCAGCGTGGCCATCCCCCCTGGGGGGTGAGTTCTCGCTTTCTATCTCTCTGTCTCTCTCTGTCTTTCTGGTGAGTGCACGTGCCAGAAAAACCCTCTCAAAAAAAAAAAAAAAAAGGAAATGGTTGTTTGAAAATAGGAGCCTAAATGAAGTAAAGAGCACGTCTTGAAATGACGAGCTACCGTCCCCGTTTCGTGCCGTCTATGTGGACCAGAGCATTTCCAAACAAACCGTATGGGGTT